TTTTTTTTTTTTTTTAGAAGAGCTAATTCTTACTTCACAAGCATGAGTACCGTCCATCTGGTTTCCCAAAACCTTCTGCAGACGGGAGCCGTAGATTCTGGTGAAAGCCTCACACTGAAAAGAGCATGAGAATCTTACATCTTTGTATTTTAAAGTTCTAGTGATTTGTGAAGGATTTCGTTAGTTGGGAGCACTGAGGGATAACTGTTAGCTTGTGAGACCTTAGGGATGGCATTGGGGTGTTGGACACACACAGACTGGAGGAAAGAGGAAGTCTCAGGTTCGGTGGAGTTGGGACCCAGGTGAAGTCGGCTCAGCACAGCCAGAGTGCGACACGACTCGCAGTCCGAGGGGAGGGACACCTCTGTGTAATCATCAGAGCGTTACCTTGGTGGTGGGAGCATGATGTTCAAACCAATAAACAAACCATAAAATGTGACTGACCTGGAACAGTCTGCTCCTGGAACAAACAGAGGTGCAAAAGGGTACATATTGTGTGAGGTGCAGCCGACGATAAAAGGAATTCGACTATCTGCGTGCCGTATTTGGCAACAAAATCATCACATTGCTCCTTGTAGCTATGTGGTACAAGATCGCAGACCTCTCCCATGAGCTTCATCAAAGCATCCTGCAAAGGAAGAAAGAGAAGAAAGAGAAGATAGTGATGATTACAGGATGGGATGCGCGCTGAAACATATGTGACTGAAGTAATGAACGATAAGTGTCACCTCAGTCATATTTGTGGGCAACAGGGTCTCCAGTTTCTTGATAATAAACAAACACAGGGTGCAGGCAGGGTTGAACAGTTCCTAGAGAAAAGATTAGCAGATATGAGGGCCATTTATAGTATAGTATGTACAGTATGAAAATAAGAGTTTCAATTTCAACTTCCATTTTAACAACCACTTCTGCTTTTTCACACTCACATGAGAGCTGGTGCCTGTCCCGAGTGCAGCACTGGATAGGTCTGTATTGGTGGTGGCATGGTCAGGAAGTTTGAGCGGTTCCTCCTCTTTGTGAGCGGCACAAAGTCCAAACACCACACAGGTCTCTTCTGGTTTCTATGTAAACACAGATTACCTTGCATTAAAGGTGAACATCAGAGGCCAAAGTGTTTTAAGAAGAATCCTGAATATGGAGGCTTAACTCACCAGGTGACCAGGTGTTTGCTGCAAGACTTTGGGCAAATACGCCTTCACCTGTGAGTCACACTCTGATGCCTGTTCCTTTGGGAGGCGTTGGCACAGAGCGTGCAAGGTTTCATATACAGTCTCCTGCAAAAGCACAGTAGTTATTGTGTTGTCTGCTTGTGTTGAACATTGTTAAATAGTGTTTTCCTGCACAATTAGACACCGGGTGTGGCTGCATGTCTGTGTGGTCAGTAGAGTAAAGTGAAGTGAAAGTAAGAAGTAAAACTGTGCAGTCCTCACCTTAGTGTCTCTGCTGGAAATCATGTTGGCGGACAGCTGGACGATCTGGCAGCATTCTGGACACATATCCAAAGTCTAATACAGAGAACCCACAGTGCGATAATGAGTGTTTACTGTGCTGCTCATTGTTTGCACTTTTCAAGAATTCATGTAGGGAAATGTTTGTTGCTGAAGCCTGATGACTGTGGCAAAAACAAAATCACCTTAATAACTAACAAATGCATCAACTCACACACACATACATGTGTAAAAAGCAGATTTAAGTAGATGAAACCTTAGTGTTTTCTAATACAGTTTAGTGTGTGGGAAGTGTGAGTGTGTTATTTTAAAATTAATTTAGTTCCATCTATTGGCATTTTGACCTTTTATACTGGAAAGAAAAGTCAGGCTTACCAGAGATTTGTGTTTGATGAATGACAAAGGGTCAATGATGAACCTGGAGTCTCCTGAAAACCCCCGGACAGAAAGAGAAACGATCCATACAGGGATGAGGGAGAGGAACAGAGGAAAAAAAGGTGCAAAGATGTCAGAAAATAGCTGCAAACTGTCATAAATCCCAAAATGACATTATAATCTTTGACAGCAAAAATTAATGGCGACCAGTCAGGTGACAGTGATGCAGTAAATCCATGGATGTTTTATACGAGCGCTTATAAAATCATTCATGAGTAAATCTTCATCTTACCGGGCCACAGAGACGTCGCCAGGACCACCAGGATGAAAGCGGACGCTGACATGATGTTAGGAGCAGAAAACGATGTGAAGCGCGGTGTGTGTGTGTGTGTGTGTGTGTGATCTATAATAACATCAGTGCTGTTGCTCGGGTCGCACCGGAAATATGAGGTTGATCGTCGCACCCAATCAGAACGGCAGATTTAATGCGCAGGCGCTGTGGACTCATTTATTTTAAAGACATAACTAACAAGGTAACGTTAGTCATCACATACCAAACTTCCTTGTTCTGTTTCCACTGCGGTGTCAAATAAATATGGGCTTCAAGTGGATACACTGATCTCCAATCTTTGATCTGATATTAGCCTTACACTAACTGTATAAAATTACACTTTTCCTAACAAATAACCTTTATTTATTATTTTTTTTGTTTTGAGAGTTAAACAAATAAAAACAATACAAATTCTGCTCAGTGTAAAGAAAAGGAGAAATGGTTTTGAAATATGGGTCTGCACAGGGTACTTATGTGGGCTGTATATATTAAGATCAGATACAGGCTACTGAGATTTAGCCTTGCTTGGGTGCCTGCATACTGGCTGCACACACACACACACACACACACACATATATATATAATATAGCAAAAATCTAAAGTTTCCTGT